CTCTGCCCAACAAATGGTGGAACAAGTGCGACAGGCTTGTCCTGTTCCGGGTAACATGTAATTAGCGTGTCATCAGGTCAGAGCAGAACCTGAATGTTGCAGTCCTACAGGTCAGTTTTAGAGATGAAGCTTCTTATGATTTTGGTTCTGAACAGATGAAAATTTCCTTTCTGATTCATGAAGACAGGCTCTAAGCATTTCACCTCCTGGCTCTCTAAAATAAGAAGAAACACAGCCTCTGTCGCTGCTCTGTACGCCTCCAGAATGTGACAAAATCATCATCACGTCTGTCATTTGAATACGGGTCACAGCATTCACCAAATTCAGATCATATTTTCATTCTGTTCTCAGCTAGCAGCACGAGCAGAGCTACAGGAGGTCTACTTGCTCATAGCCACGTTATCTCCAATGTGTTAATGAATAATTCTATGATTCCAGGCAGGCTGAAACCCAGATACCTTCTCTCAGGTATCAGGAAAGCCCAGCAGGCAGGTTGGTACATGTTACATGTGTTCTGATTTATGAAGCTGCCTTTGGTTTATGTGGTATTAACGAGTACCTGTAGAGCAGAAATTGGTCTTAATACATTTCGTTTAGTTTTGATGTTCTGAACACAAAGAACAATCTCCAACTGGTTTGCTCACAATTCACGGTGAAACCATCTTCTGGCTTTTCATTTGCAACACAAATCAATTTCTTTGACTCTATAGTAGATCTCTTTGTTTGGCCTAGATATCCCGTTTGCATATTTGAGGTTCTCACTCTGAAAGTTGGACCACAAATCAATCAATGTCTTCTGCAAAACTGAAAACACGCACATAACAAGTCAGTAACCGAAACTCTGAGCTTCTTTCCTAGAAAACAGCACGCCCTTTGAGCAAATCTTACAGAACTGTAAACGCATTACATCACGTCTTGAGAAGCTGTAGATAAATCAAAGTCTAAAAGACGAGGTTGAGTAGAAGTGAGTCATCACCATGCATCAAAACAAGAGTCAGCTGACATCAACTGACTGAGGTGCAAGTTGGCTGTAACTAAATACCCCCTGAAGTCTTTGTGAATACGAGTTTACATGCATGAACTGGGTCACAGAGGGTTACACACAATGACCCAGTTCAAGCATGTAAACTCATATTCACAAAGACTTCCATCAGTAAAATTAAGGTACATGGGTCATTCAATTGTAAAGCTAACGTAAGTAAGTAAAAGTAAGTAAAAGTTTATTTATATAGCGCCTTTCTCAGATATGAATCACAAAGCGCACCATAGTACAATTGAAAACAGTGTTTTGACCCTTACTAGGACATTAAATGAGAGACCACAGCCATTGACGGAGAACGATATAATCCATAAACCTATTAACCAAGTCACTGTGCCACTAGAAACCAGCCAAAATCTAGTCTTTGTGGTGCTGTTACTGAAAAAAAAACCTTGATCTAAACACCAAAAGGTATAAGAATCTGTATAAAAGCAAAAAGCTTGATGATTTGCTGCTCTGACGCATTTAGATTTAACACCAAGGAGAGAATGCATCAATGATGACCTCAGAGAAGCAAGTTTCAAGGGTCAAAAGGCCATTTCCTACACATCAGAAGCCCATCCTTCCTCTGTGAGAAACGTTATATAAAAGGAACACATTTAAGATGGATTGTTAGTTTTTCCAGAAGTGGATGTCTCAGAACAGTTCACCTCGAGTTCAGGCCATACAGAGGTCAGAAAACTTGCAAATAAGCCAAAAGAAACTTTTTAGGATCAAGAAGCCTTAGTTAGAATATTTAAGTTCATAAGAGGACAACTGGAAAAATACTAAATAAATATAACTTGTTTGGAAGACTTTTCTCTCTTATAGATAAAACAACAGCCCGGTTTAAATTTGTGCATGAATACATGAGCTCTGCAACAATGTTAAATGAGACCAAAATTGAGAATTTTAGATATAAATCTCTGTGTCTCTGCACATTTAGTTAAATCTAAATAAAACACCCCAGCTCAAACACCTACTAACTTTTAGAGTAAGTGAATAAATTACGATTTGGGCTTCTTTGGCAGCTGCAGGACCTCGCGTTTCAGCAGTTGGTCTGACAGACGGACGTCTACAAATTTTGTTCATACAACAGGAAAATGAGCCCATGCGTAGCAGGAAATCTGACACACAATAGATGTTTATGTTAATTTATTTGGCAGACGCTTTTATCCAAGACGACATATAATTTTTTACTTGAAGGGCATGTTGTGATTTGTAGGGGAAACCGGAGTACCCGGAGGAAACCCACGCATGCATGGGGAGAACATGCAACTCCACGCAGAAAGGCCACAGCCGAGTTTCGAAACTGCAACCTTGGTGCTGCGAGGCAACAGTGCTAACAACTGCGCCACCATGGGCTGCATGGTGGCGCAGGTTACGATAACTGCAGGTATGCGCAGAAACAAAAGTTATCCACTAGCTGCGGCTGTCACGTGTGTTACATCAAGGTGGTACAGCTTCTTAAAGGGACACGAACGTTGCCAACCTACACACATCTATTCATTTTTTTATTATCAAATTTACTGACATGGGAAAATTTATCTCGATAAGGGTCAGAAATTTTGATAACAATACATTTTTTATTTATTGCCCAGCCCTAAAAGATTGGTATGCTGAAAATCAGTTCATGTTTAAATAAAACATGTTTTGCATAAAGCACGAGGTTTTGGTTAGTAATTGATTGGGAGAATAACAGATGACTGATTTGGATAGTGTTGATCAGGCAGAGCTTTGTTGCCAGCGTTCCACTGCACAATGGCTTCAAACATGTATATGATAGTGTTAAGTTTTTTCGTAAACCATTGGATGAAATTACACAAACTGACTGAGGTCTAGTTAAGGCTCTTGCAATTGTTTGTGTACGTGTACTTGCGCACGCGCATGTGTGTGTGTGTGTGTTTGGGGGAGGGTACATTGAAACTTTGTCTCCCCCAGTTTGAAAATCTTATCTGCGCCCTAGCCCCATCCCTGTTCTCCTGCTGACCCTACAGCTGTCTGACTGCTTTGATAGACACAGGCCTCTGGGTGCTGCTGTCCTCAGATTAAGTCATGCAAGTCATGAAGTGTCGCCAACTGGGACAGAGACCAGCTCTGCGGGGTATCTGCCTGACCATCACAGACATATTTGATTAAAACACATGAGAAGCCTTTTGCTTTGAGATCTGTCTCAGCATGTTCTATGATGTGGGAGGTTGTTATTTTCACCAATACATTCTGTTCATACTGAACTCACTATCCATCTGGACTGTGATCTAGTGCAGAAGAAAGCTGATGAATCAATATGCCTTAAACTATTGCAGCATCCCGACTGCTCAGATCACTGCAAGGCTTTAATGGATTCATTTCCCATTAACCTCCATGCTCCAGTAATGGGAGGTGGAAGCTATGGGTCTACTTATGTCAGCTGACATTAATCTCAGACATATCCTAATAGATATTAGCGTGTAGCAGCCGTTTCTGGCCGAGAGACAGAAGAGACTGGGCGCCCAGCTCGCTGGGCTGCCTCCACAAGGATGAAACAGCAGATTCACGGATCTTTAATCGTAGGGCTGCCGCTGTTAAGAGGCAAGTTACCAAAACTCAGCAAACCTCTTTGCAGTGGAGACCTCGCACAGTGGACCAGCAACGCCCCAAAGCCTCTGCTAGCTAGCCTTTAACCATGCAGTGTTATGTTGAATGCACAGCATTTTCCTATCCAACCAGTGGAATAAAACACAGAAATATATTTTTAATTACTGATCAAAACGAAGCAGAGACTTCTTGGATGGTCTTTTAGTACAGTCGATACCAAAGCTTGACTCTTGTCCAAATAATTCCACGATTAACATCCAAACACGAACACACAGAAGACACAGCTAAAGTTCAGACATCGAAATGGTCGAACATCTAATGTGAGGCCGAGGCCTACCCTGGAGATAGCCGCTAGAGCTAGCTCTGACACTCATGCTACTTGTAAATGAAATCTAATTATTCATAATTTCAAGCATTCAATTACACCTAAACGGAAGATTTACCCCCCCCCCCCCCCCCCCCCCCTCTCTCTCCAGCTGTCATGACTGTAAACTATAAATCTATTCAACTTAAAATGCTTCTTGAACCAGGCTGGGGGGTATTCATCTCTATCTTTAAGAAACCGTTGAAGACCCAGCTTTTCTAGATAAGGTCCGTCCCTGCACTTCCCTTCCTTCCTCCTTGTGCACCCTCCTCTATACCTTCACTCTATTTTCTACGCTGTTCCTCTGTCACCTCAGACTGGCAATATTCCCTGTTTACTGTTAGCCTCAAGGGGAACTGCTGTACAAAACGTGACTGTTTAATTGAGTGAAAACTAACCACAATGAAAATGTAATCAAGCAAACATTATAATGGGTTTCATTGGGTAGTGACATAAAAAGTACACAACCACTGGAACATTTAAATAGAACCCATACTCATCTATCTTTAGCATTATTTTGAATCACACTGAAGTACTTTTACATATTTTAAGTTCAATTTTAGTTAAGGTTGTCTCATTTTTTGCCTCTTTGAAAGCATTTAGCTTGTTTTGCATTTAACACAGGATAATTGTTGTCATTTCCCTTCTATTTCTTGTTTTTGCCTCATCCTAGTCACTCTTTTTCCATTGTTGGTTCATGTCTTCTTTAATAAACACATGGTTTTTAGAATAATGCGACGTGGTTGGTTTTGTAAACTTGTGGTCAGGATGCAAATCCTCATGAATGGTTGGTCTGTTTGGTTTTTGTTTGTTTGTTTCTGCCAAACGACCATTTATTTGTGCTGGTCTTTCTTCCTAATAATTTTCTTCCCAGTCAGTACCAGTTCCACCGGTACTTTTCTTATCCATGATTCAATCTGAAACTGTGGATCATTGAGTCATGACCTCACACACTAGAAAAACGACCAGCAGTTGTGTGATTGTCAGGTTTTGTGTTGGGTTGTTTCCAATAAACGCCCGAGTCACACCTCCTGGACGTACCTGATCACTGGGCCGAGCAGCAGCAGGTGCAGGAAGAGAACCAGAGGTCGGTCCCGACCCAGGTCCCGGTGGATGAAGGTTAGAGTTAACTGGATGAGCAGAGCGGGCACCAGCATGAAGACGATGGTGAAGCCCGTCCAGATGACATCGTCGTTGTTGTGGTATTTTTTGCAGAGAAAGGCGGCGGTGATGAACTCGGCGCAGTAGAGCACGGTGGCCAGCACCACGCTGAGCGGAGGGTGCACCGGTCGGTGGTTGGACACCACCACCAGCCCGTTCCCTCCCACCAAGGAGCTCTGCTCAAGGTCCCCGATCTCCCGCTCCTGCTCCTCCACGGCCACCTCGCACATGTCGGTATCAGTGAGTCCGAGCTGGGAAACAAAGAGAATCCCTCTTAAAACGAACTCCTCTCAAAAGCATCACCTTTGATACTTATTCCGTTTAACGAGTCGTCGTCGCTCCCAACTTTCCACCCAGTCAAGCATCGTCAACTTCCGATCGTGCTCTTCATATCAACCCTACGGGGCTGAGGTCAGGCTATCCGCCCCCAGAGGGGCTCGATTTACCTCGCCGTTCGTCCCGTTGTCCGTTTTAGCCGGGGAAACCACCCACCTCTGTTATCAGCACTTATCTGCGCTGGCGAGGCTCTGTCGGTGTGTGCAGATCGCCAAAGTTCAGCCTCTCCGTGCAGAAAAAGCAACAGAAGCTCCACGTAGACAGACTAATTCAGGAGTAGTAAAGGCATCAATGAGCTTCGTTGTTTATGTCTGTGAACTCACGGAGAACCTCGGGTCCACCGGGTGCTGGGAGGTGCACTGACCGAGTATTGCTGAGTTGTGGTTTGGGTCTGCGTCAAGTGAACCAGAGAAGAAGAACCACACCGGAAATGCGAGCTTCTTTCAAAATAAACGGAACGGCTCCTAAACACTGAAGCGTTGCACACAAACGCAACACAAATATGTATTTCAAAACTGCGGCGAGTGGGTGTGGCGTAATAAGATGTAGTCACGCATCTCTTTGGTTAAATTTTGTATTTCTGACACAGGTTGCTGGTAGATGTCATAAACATTTATAAACGTAGTATTTGACAGAGCCCACTTCCTGTTTGGTAGCTTCTTCGTCTGTTTTGATTGCACATTGTGCTTACATATAGTCTGGCTTGCCAAGCTATTAAAATGCCGTAACAACAGGAAAGTACCTCCTTAAAAAGCATGGGCGTCCTTTTCGGGGAATCAAAAACATCATTGTTATTTTTTAACAAACCTTTATTAACAAAAATAGAATATACAATGTGACAATGAGGTTACAAGCTCACAGTTGACAACGAATAAGAAAAGTGAGTTGTGAACAAAAAAGAAAACAAAGTGCCAGCTAGGGGGATATACAAAAGGTGGGTGTACAGAAAAATACCGAATACAGTAGCATATATCTAGAGAGAACATCAACACAGAAATAGTAATACATCAGGATCAGATTATCTTAAATTATATATTTCAGTAGTCTTTACAGCCTTCTGGTTTTGTGAGAACCGGATAGAGTCCTTATACTGCTTGACCTCCACTAAGAAACAGTTAAAGTTGGGTTTGCTTTTAAGAAATTTATATTTATGGATATGAAATTTGGCCCAAAGAAATAACAGATTAATAAAAAATTTAATGGAGTAATTAAAAATATTCTGGTGAAGGCCAAACAAAACCTGCTTCCAATAGACAACTTGACAGACAATTTACAGCAGATTAAGTCACAGAAAGACTGCCAAAACCGTTTGGAATGAGTACATAGCCACAAAAGATGAGTTGTTGAAAAACATCATTGTTATTAGTAACTGCTTTTCCCTGACAGATGCGTTTGCGTTTAGTACACACGTTTTTATCTTACTCTACCGCCACCTAGTGGTAAAATTTACACAAAAATTACTGCATTTTTATATTTGGTAGTGACCGTTTCTGAGTGGCCGTCATTGATATGAGAAAAAACACACACACACATATATATATATATATATATATATATATATATATATATATATATATATATATATATATATATATATATATATATATATATATTTCCTGCTAAAATGTTGCAATCTATATTTAAGTAACTGGTCAAATTTGGGCCATCAAACTTATTCAAAAGGTTTACTGGAGTCTGTGGCTAAACTGCATGATTGAAATTTTGATTATTTGCAGCTGTCTTGCAGGCCCTCTGAAAAATGAGTTTGACAAACATTTTGGAATTCTGATGCAATGACCTGGTTATTGCGTTCACCAGATATCAACACAATTGCGATCTGCTCCTCACATGTTTTCCTCTTCCACATGTCAATGGCTGTGAACAAAGAGAGACTTGTAAATAGCTCGTGAAAGAATAAAGTAACGTTAAAACCAAGCACACCATTGTTTTTCTTGTGAAATCCCCAATAATTCTGATGTGTCACATGACCCTCTTCCTACTGAAAAAAACAAAAGTTGGATCCAAGATGGCCGACTTCAAAATGACCACCATGGTCACCACCCATCTTGAAAATTTACCCCCTCACATAGACTAATGTGCCACAAACAGGACGTTAATATCATCAACTATTCCCATTTTATTAAGGTGTATCCATAAAAATGGCCCACCCTAACCCCATGGACTCTAAAAGGGGTGAGTACTCTGAGTTGCTATTTGGTGCTTAAGCAAAAACAACAGTCTGGACTGTTTCTCCATTTCGGAGGCGCTCTTCACATCATTCTTTAGCTTGAACCAGTTTATGGGAGAATAACCTACCAGGGCCAAACTGTCCAAGACAACAAAGCTCCTAGGGTCATGAGGGAACCCAAAGCCTTAAACATAAACCTGTAAACATTTAGGTTGTATATCAAGTGTATTGACACCTATGCTATTACAATCTCCACTGGCTCTTTTATTTCACCCTGTCTCAGTCCTCTCCTAATGAAATCACTGTGGGGGGCAACAAAGAGATCAGTTTCCCTGCATGTTCATTTTTAGTTTCACCCAGCAGACTGGTCCCTGCTCTTGTTAAAGTGACCTGCAGGCAGGAACAGGTGCAGGCCACCAGAGCTTCACTCTTCCACATGGACATATTATAAAATCTTATCTAACAAATTTGAAGAAGGGTGTGTTTTTGTTTTTACAGGTTGCATGATACATTTAGATGAAAGACGTCCACCTTTTTAACCGCTATAATCCGTCACATTGAATGCGTTCCAAAACCTTCCAGAACGGTGGCTCTGACCTTACTCTCATACCGTCTTTAGCAAAATAAAAAAAGGGAGTTGTTCTGTTTACATTTCATTGTCAAATGTTTTAACACAGCTCACTGTAAACATGACAGCAGCTTCCTGTCTAATCAGATTCCCTCTGAACAGGTGACCCTGG